ATAGAGGTTGAGATTTATAAAGGAGGCGATTTTAAAGAGGAAAAACTGTATTTAATTATAATCTAAACTTTTTTTTTTTGCACATTATGGTTGTATATATAATTAATCGTTTTTTTTTTTAACCCCAAGTTGGCAAACAATGATTTTAATACTTTATCTTTAAAATACCCTTGTAAAAAATTCATGGGTAACTTTTTTGATTATATATGTAATCTTTCGGAAAAGTTTGATTTCCCGATAATTGTTTTGGTAAGCAGGTTGATTAAATAAATTCAATTGTAGTTTATGATATAATCAATTTACATGTCATATTTGAAATTAGGAGACTAAAGACGTTCTAAGTTCTCAAATGGAACATAGCCCTGAAAGTTCACAGGTTACAACACAAGATCACAATATTGAGAATGATTATGGCACACCTTTTATCGATCAATCAGATGGTTTAATAAGACCAACGTATTTATCATTTTATATTTTATATTTTATTTTTGGACGTTTGCTAAAATGTAATTTACTTATAATTCATTTACTTTATTAGTCATGCTACAAGTATCCGATCGAATAAGTATGTCGATTCATTTCGTAAATTTCATAAATTCTCTGAGCAAGAATTAAATCAACAATTAGAACAATTCAAAAATAGGTAAATTTATTTAATAATTTAAGATATTTACGAACTTTTTTTATTATAAATAAGTTGACATTATTTCCTTTTCAAGTACGACTGATGATCATGAAATAACTGTTCAATCTACTGACATGGAGCAGGATGGTTTTACATCGATGGATCCATTAATAGGTTCTTCATCCAATGTCATAAGTAACATAAGTAACAAAAGCACATCAAAATCAAAATCAGTTGTTGAGACTGTTGAAAGACAATCGCCGATAATTGAAAGACAATCTTCGATAATTGAAAGACAGTCGTCAATAATTACGGCTCCTGAGTCACCAGAAATTCCGCATGCTGATGACGACATGATTATTGAATCGGTTGAAACGGATAAAAATGATTCACCTAAGAAGCGAAAATCAACGGCATTACGACAGGGTGGTTGGACTCAGAGAGAACTAAATTTCCTTATTAAAGGAATGGAGAAGTATGGAACTAGTTGGTCAAAGATAGAAAGAAAATATGGAAACCCTGGAGGTCCGCTTAGTAGGCGAACACAAGTGAACATGAAAGATAAAGCACGATCAGAGTTAGATCGTCGATTAAGGTGTGGATTGTCACCGGGAGTATTTAGTCAAGTGAGGTAAAAAAAAAAAAAAGTGATGCTATTTAGTTATACAAGGCCTACCGAATAATTGATTGGAATTAATTGCAATTTTTTGAACTCAATTAATTGATTGGAATTAATTGCAATTTTTTGAACTCAATTGATTGGAATTAATTGCAATTTTTTGAACTCAATTAATTGATTGGAATTAATTGCAATTTTACGTTTACATATAAATTCGTCGTCAATATTATTTTTTACTATAAATACATGTGGTTTTTAATTTTTCGCTGTTTAAAAAAATTGGGTCACACCAAGTACTGTATGCAGCTCTCTATAGGTATAATGAAAAAAAATTGAATTTAACCGCAATTAATTGGGTTTCGATTTAATTTTATGATAATTTTAATTGATTATAATTGCATATACGTATTACAAAATTTAATTACAATTAATTTTTCGGTAGGCCTGGTTTATACGTTGTTTAGACTTTAAAAAAAAATTAATACTAATGTTTTTTAAATTAGTGCGCATGCCAAAACTTCGAAAAGAACAAGGAGAACCCCGCAAGAAGAGAATGATTAGTATAATTATACTTGCCGTTCCAATTGCAAACCATTACAGCTTGGGCTTGTCCACGTCCAAATCCCAACTCTGGCCAAACTAATCTCTAAGCAAATAAAATATATTCTTTAGTTATATGGAATCTATTTGCAAGATATCAAATACATTTTTCATTTAAATTTTTTATAAATAGCAATTGCATTTTTTTGAGGTTGGGTTTTGCCTACAAGTAAAATTTAATAATTTTGGACATCTGAATTAGATTGCAAAAGAGTTATTCACCCAAGAGAATAGGTAGTAGGCTAATTCAAAAATTTATTCATTTTAACATTGTTTTGGATATTTGAATTAGTTTGGCAAAGGGTTGATTATTGCAAAGGGTTGGTGTTTGCAAAGGGTTGATTTATTGTAGGAATAATAAAGCATTACATTTATGAAAAAAATTGTTTAAAAAAAGTATAATGAACAAATTAGATTCGTTTAGCATGAATTGAAATGATTAAAATGTTTAAAATGTTTTATATGAATTATATAAAATTATCAAGCAAAAAATTAACTTTTCGAGGAACTTCCAACACCATTGTCAACTTCATCGTGGTTTAGATTGACCCAATTCTCAGTTGAAGAATCAGTTTCTCCTTCATATCCACTATTACCATTTTCATCAACATGAAAATAATCTTCCCATTTCTCAACTAACATTTTGAAGTGTTGCAGGATAACAGGCCCCATTTCCTTGGTTAATACTTTCATAAACTGTGTATTAACAATAAACATTCCTAATCCACAAAAAATAAACACATATTTCCAAGGCACGATCCATACTGTCAAACTAGCCACTACTAAAACCGCTATTGCAACTTGCGTTATCATCAACGTCTCACATTCATTG